TGTGTTCTTATACTGTGGAGACTAATAATTTTATTTGAAAGCAAGTCAAAGTATTTATTTACTAAGTTAAAATTTTGATACATTTATACTTTAATTCGTAAACACGTTCAATAAACATCTCCTTGCACTTTCTTTTCTTTGAAGGAGGTAAGAAAACTAATTCGATAATATTCACTTTGAGAAGGAGGAAAGGAAGTAACAACTTTTGCGTTTACAATTAGTTACAATTATTTGCAATTAATAATACAATTATTTTGTACAAGTTGTCTAATATGTTTCTTTAGAATAACGAAGTAAATAAAAATAAATTACAAGTCTCTGGTCTCACAATTTCTTTATATTCAATTTTCAGTAATTTTTAAGGCGCGCAGAAGCTAGTTCTAAACACGAACAGCCTCTTATTGATAAATTAACAAATTAATATGAGTTCGCAGGAGAAATTTGCTTAACACTTTATCTCGGTCGGTGAAAGCTAAAAATTCGGAATATCCGTTTCGATCACCGTTACACGTGCGTGTTTTCTTTCCAAATGTAAATTCGAAACCAAGCTGGTCGTATCCGACCCAAAAAAATTTTGGACAACCAAAAAAAAAATTCAAGAACAAAGTGAGAAGCGTGCAACGTCAATGGAACATCTCTTACCAAAAGAAAAATTATCGACTTCGAGATGCGCCAAAAATTATGAAATAATTTCCACCTTATTTGTACTTTACTTAGACAAATATACGCCAACGAGAAAGATTATCCATTTGCTTACTAAACGGCATATTAAATATATTACAAGCTCTTCGAAAGCGACAATATGACAATCAAACACTTGGAGACTCAAATTGTTGAATACGCCGTCATAAATGACACTGTGTGCCAGAAATGCCATTAAAATAGATTTAAGCATCATGTGAGATACGTCTAATGAGGTTCATCGTGAAAAAGAAAACAATTTGTGCGTGTTTATGCAGTCTGGCAGCGATGTGCGCGAGATAGGGAAATGCTTATTGTGTGAATATAATCCTCGATCAGAAGCAGTTAAGGTTATAACAGCTTGCGTTTTGCTGTTTCCTTTGTACGAAAATAAATATTTTCTTACTTTACATTCAATAATAAAGCAAACGTACGCATTTCTTTTATCAATATTAAATCACAAAGATAAATATTAAACAGTAAATGGAAGTAAAATTAAACATTAGGTTTCATTTTTTTAATTAAATGTTACGATTAATTCTTTTAATCAAATTTTACAATTAATTTCACTTTCATTTACTGTTTAATATTTTCTTAGTCTCGCCTTACCTTGCATTCGATAATGAAATAAACGTAAGTATTTCTCTCATCGGTATTAAATCGCGAAGTTAAGTATTAAACACTAAACGAAAGTAGGATTAAATGTTACGATTAATTCTTTTAATTAAATGCTACAATTAATTTCACTTTCATTTACTATTTAATATTGTCTTAAACTCGCTTACCTTGTACTCAATAATGAATTAAACGTAAGTATTTATCTCATCGATATTAAATCGCGAAGTTAAGTATTAAACACTAAAAGAAAGTAAGATTAAATGTTACAATTAATTTTTTACATTAAATGATACGATTAATTGTTTTAATTAAATTTTACAATTAATTTCACCTTCATTTACTGTTTAATATTTTTTTAGTCTCGCCTTACCTTGTACTCAATAATGAATTAAACGTAAGTATTTATCTCATCGATATTAAATCGCGAAGTTAAGTATTAAACACTAAAAGAAAGTAAGATTAAATGTTACAATTAATTTTTTACATTAAATGATACGATTAATTGTTTTAATTAAATTTTACAATTAATTTCACCTTCATTTACTGTTTAATATTTTTTTAGTCTCGCCTTACCTTGTACTCAATAATGAATTAAACGTAAGTATTTATCTCATCGATATTAAATCGCGAAGTTAAGTATTAAACACTAAAAGAAAGTAAGATTAAATGTTACAATTAATTTTTTACATTAAATGATACGATTAATTGTTTTAATTAAATTTTACAATTAATTTCACCTTCATTTACTGTTTAATATTTTTTTAGTCTCGCCTTACCTTGTACTCAATAATGAATTAAACGTAAGTATTTCTTTCATCGATATTAAATCGCGAAGTTAAGTATTAAACAGTACAAGGAAGTAGAATTAAATGTTACGGTGAATATAAATTATTAATATTTGTATTTAATTATGAGATTTCGGCTTATAAAAATAATAGTTTAAGAATTGTGATATTTATGGAAGATGCAAGTCGTTTTATATTGTATACAGTTAAACAACTTGAGTATGATTATTGAACCAGAAATTAATCATGCTTTTACTGATACGAATTTTATCATGCTCTCGTATATTCCTTCTGCAAACCTACTTATTTATCAAGTTTTCATTCTATAGAATATCCTTTGTTTCGACGTTGAAAAATTAATTGTTTCTGAACTGTAATGGTGTGCGTATGCTTCATTGAATATGTCGATGCATTATACATATCGCAATTATAATTCTAAGACACACTTTGATACAAACAACAAGATCTGAATCTGCGTTTTATTACGAAAAGATTTTATTATGTACGTGACGATACCAGCGCGAGTTGTTTTAAATATTAACAATGATGAATGTAACATTTGATGTTATTTTGTAATAGGAATACAATGTGCGTAGGAATATAATCGTTGTTGTTGATGATGTTTATGGGATGATTTAACGGGAAGCAGTTACGAAATTTGAAGTTAAGAGACGCGTTTGAAGTGCGAATGTAAGATCAGAATAATAGATGGAAAATAAGACAGAAAGAAAACAAATGGCACAAAGTTGATTATGCAAATGGGAAATATATGAGAATTCTAATTACGTGCTAAGTTTGAAAAATTAAAATTAAAGCAACAATCAATTCTTTTTAATCTACAAACAGTTATTAAAAGAAATTGCTATACCTGAGAAATAATTTTATCCTCTTTAACTAATGTTAAACAATATGTATAAGAGAAATATTATTTCAAAGTTACTAAGGAAAAATTGACAAAATTTCTTTACAATTTTCGTGACTAATTTACCGTAAAATTAAGTTATAATAGCAAAATCCTTTACGAGATGGATGTGAATATTATTATAGAAAAAACATTTCATCGTCAACAATGGGATGTCGCAATGGAGTCTGTGTTTAAATAAAAAACAAAATTTGAAGTCTGCTTAATGTTTTGCTAAAAAGATATTTTTAGTAACATTTTCAGGTGGATTATAATTAATGTTAGATAACATATATAACAGAAATATTATTGCAAAGCTGATATCGATAAAAATTCGCCAAGATTCTCGTGACAAATTTACAATAAAATCGACTTATAATAACAAAATCCTCTGCGAGATGCATATGAATACTGTGGTAGAAAAAACATTTCACTGCCAAGAGTGGAGTGTCGCGATGAAGTCCACATTTTATTAAACAAAGGACAAAGCTTCAAGTCTTAGAGCTCTGTTCTGCTAACAAAATATCTCTCAGGTGGATTATTTTTAACAACAAAATTCTCACGTTAGTATAATAATTGAACGCTAATTTGTAAGCAGGAAAAATGAGAGAAGAAAATAACTCATAAAAAGAACCGAAAGATCTTCACGGCTTCTCTGAACTTTCAAAAACGTTTAGTTTCCAGCTACACATGAAATAATTCAAACGTCTCGTAATATGTTTATCCAAAGCAACTGGTAGATCCCCGAGGGAATCATTAGACACGGTACGCTAATAATTCGGTCGGAATTCGTTCAACTGCAAGCCCTGAAGCATGACTCGAACAGAACAAAAGAATGACGCGCCTGTTGCGCATTACTGACATTATGATCCAAATTAGCGGGTGATTAAAAGAGTCTGCTGTTATCTTTATTCCACTTGCAGCAAACATTTTAATGCACGTAATCGAATTTACAAGTTCAAGCTAACGAATAATTCAGTAGATAATGTAATTAGTTGCAGAAGAAACATCGTGTAGTGTTAGATATTCGAACACAGAGTATTAGAATCTTTTACTTCCAGTGAAACTAACATAAAGCAAGCGAGATGTATATTATGCTTCCCTATTTTACCTGTGTATTATTATTATTATTGTTGTGCTATAATTTATTGTTAATGCGATTGTGTATTATAATCTAGCCACTGATAATTAGACTATGGATTTTTAGACAATTTTTTATTTTTATGAACGAAACTAAAGTAACAGAACCTTTTTTTTTTTAAATATTTATTAAAATTACAATCAATTCTCACGTTGAGAATTTTCAGTAATTTTTCTGGCGTGGCGCAGTAACATGGCTAATTATTTATAATAAGTTAATACCTATTATAGATAAGTATAATTTATAAGTAAGTATTATAAATAAGTAAATATTACTTAATTTAAATAACTAATTGAATCTATCGTTTAGGTCTAGCAGGTAGTGTCTCTTCAGCCTGCGGAAGTAACAGAACCTACACAAGAATTTGTTTCCTATAAAGTGTACCCTACTTTGAATATTTTACATGTTTTTGTACGTTATATGGAATTTATGGATTTTTGCATCTTCGAATTTATTAAAAATCTACAGTCTATTAACAGATAATAAAGTAAGCAAGGTCCGTTAATAAGATGAAGTGAATATGACGCTGATCTTCGTGACGTAATGTGTTCCTCATGTGTCAAATCAAATGGTAAAACGCCAATAAAATGAAAAAACGAATAATTAACTTTTGCTCTGTGCCTTTGTTTCTCACGCATTTATAACGCTTTTTTTACTAATCCTCCTTCAGAGCTATCGCTCTGTCAATCGTCAAAGTCAAAGAATATCATAAAAATTATTCTGTAAGTGGTAAGAATAATATAATCGTTTGCGAGGATTAAATAAGTAAATAAATTTGTAAATTTACTTAAAATAAAAAATACTTTAGTAAAAATACCTTAGTAAAGTAAAAATACATTAAATAAGTAAATAAATAGGGCAGATTGAAACTCACCTAACCGAGCCCGAGGTGACCAAAAATGGCATAGGTGTTGGGCATGGGCTCAATGGCGAACTGCTGACTGAACTACGAGTGCTGCTTAACACAGAATGTGGACATTGTGGTGGACCGCCATGTGCACCGGAAGATGCGTTTCCACCTTTGCTGGAGGAACGTCCCTTCAGGCAGGGGATTTTCGACCAACCGCTAACATCGTTGCCCGACAAGCCTGTGAACAAATACGTTGATCGATCGTACTATGCAGGTGATAGCAATTTCACTGTATGCATTAGCATTGCACAGGATTTAGAGCGTCTGGGCGGCTGCTCCATTTAGTGTAGCGCTTTGGCATACGAGATGTACGCTTCGAGCGTTTATTTAGTAACACTTGATCAATTAATCTGTAAGATACATATTGATAAAATTGTGTTGGCGAGCATCTACCTCCGAAGCAAATGTTCATTTCATACAGTTAATTAATATCAAATACGATGAAAGTAAGTACGTTATACGCGGTCATCTGTTTGTGGCGAATAAGAGCGAACAATAACGTTGCCAAAGGCATTTACACGTTTTCACAATACAAACGCGAAAACCGAAAATCTGATGCCGATCGTTTCGACTGGTTTGGAACTTTTAGAGTTAAAATAGGAAGGAAGAATAAGGATTTGGAATAAATAGTTGCTTGATAGTAGATCTATCACACCAGTCAAATTGACTGGTTTTATAATTTTATTTTGAAATTCCTACTTTATGTTCTATTTTTCCCCCAAGTGGTGTAATGACTTTTGCCACGATAACTAAAAGAATAATATAATGAGTTTTATTTTGTTTTTTATGTATTTCGTATCAAGGCTACTTACACCAATACCAGTCAAAGTGTAAAAGGGTCCTGTAATCTGTTTATCGACCTGCAATCTGTTTATCGAACCTCAATTAATCAGTTTTCTCGCCTAATTAACCAGTTTTCTCTTTTTGTACAACTTGCCACAAGTTTTGAAAATTTTTACTGCGTATCATTCGATACGACGATATCAGTTATAAGAAAAATTCCAGATCGATCGCTAGATCGCTAAATGTTAACAATAGAAACGCCACACCAGCCAAAATGAATGATTCTACAGTTTTATAAATGTGTCAACCCTCATTTAAAGATCCCGGATGGATTAATTAATAATACAAAAAATGTACTACATAACATGGAATTTCTTTTGTAAGAAAGTGATAAATCGATAAATATAAAAATATTCTATTATTACGTATTTTTTTTTAAAAGACCAGTCATTTTGACTGGTTTTGACATAAATAGCTTGGTATTAACTATCGGTAGTTCTAGTGTTAAACTAATTTCTTATTTTCATTTTTCATAGCAAAGTGAAATGAATCGTTCCTAAACAGGAATGTTCATTTTGATTGGCAATTTTAAATAAAGTAACGAATAATTTAATTTCATTACTAATTGAAATTCTAGTTGAAATAGAATCCCTTTTGATGGGATCTGAAGTCCGGACTCGACTCGAGGCTGCGCGTTCTACACCAAGGAGCTTCTTGTAAATCTTTGTTGGATTAAGTTACGTTAACATAATACCAATGTATAACAAATATATACATAGATATTATTAAAATACGTACAACAAGTTCGAATTCACAGAATTGTGTTTTATAATACCACAGCATACGGTGTGAAAATTCTCCTCATCTCAATTACCTTCACAATAACATTTGCGTTTCTCATACAGTTGACAGAATCAGAAATTATTTCACGTCACATTTATTCGCATAAATAATAAAATAATTGTCATATAATTATAACAAATAAAATGACATATTGTCGAACTAATTGCTTGTTAGATGTCGTATTTCGAATTTGCCTAACTTTCTTCCGAGTATGGTCACGCTGACCTTTTCTGCGATATTATCTATCTCTGCTCATTACTACCTAATGACAAAATCCGCAATCACTTAGTTGCCAACCCAATAAAACCAACGGTTTGCGTCACGTTTACGAAACGGATAAAACACGTGCGATTTTCGAGAATTCCGATATTTTAATTAAGCGCGTCATTAGTTTTAGAGTGAGCAGAATCGCTGGAAATGTCAACAGTATTTTATATGCTTGTTGACGTAATAACATTTATTATACATTTATTTTTCGGGTCGTAAATTCGATGTACAATGAACATATATATGACATCTGAACTAACGGACATTTTAATTACCGTTGATTGGTATATGGACACCTGGCGTGTCTGTTTTCGACGGGAGGCATCTGTGCAAAGCGTCAACGACTCTGATAAAAAAACGCCTCAAAAAAAAAAAAAATTGTTTGTAGATTCAGCAGGAATATTTTTCCATGCGACAAAATTTTAACCAAAGCATATCCAAGTCCATTCACAAGAATATTTTATCGCAGAAACAATGCATATGAATTGAATAAATTTACAAACCGAATGAAACTAGGATAATAAAAATAAGAATGTTGGAATATTTTGTTTCTACGTTAGAAGTGTAAACCACATAAATATGGATTTAACAATGTTGGAGTGGACATGTTAGAGTTAACATTTTTAAGAATAGCAATGTAATGAAGCAAATTGGATATATTACAGATGAATTATTTAGTTACAATAAAGTGATGCGAACAATGTTCAGTTAATTTCAAGAGTAATCGCCATAATTATTTTGTGTTCAAAGCAATATAATGGCTAAAGTAGGGAAGCGTATTCAACGCGATATCAAATTCCCTTGTTAATTAAAACTTTGTTACAATAATCGAAGGAGAAACACGAATTTGGTGATATAATTTATTACCCGATAATTAATTAAATTTTCCCAAAATATTCGATAATAAACCTGTAAAAGGAGTTGCTTACATACGGAAAATAAATAAACTAAAAGCCAATCTCTTTGAAACGAAGTTAGCCAAACTGTACAAACAGTAGAACGACATAGTAGCAAAGATATTTTTATCTATACACATTTAAGAAACTACAGCCGACTGTGCATACATTGTGTGGGCTTTATTTTTTCAAGTTAGAAACTACTTTATTTTACGCTAAAAAAAAAAAATCAAAAAAACGAAAATCACCAGCAGCTGCATAGAGATGCGTTATTATAAAAATCAGAGACAAAAGCTGGCAAAAATCACAGGAAAAGCTGGCAAAAATCACGGGCAAAAGCTGGCCAAAAATCACAGGTAAAAGCTGGCAAGCAACTCGCGTTACAAACTGCATACGAAGTATTATCCGTGTGCGTTCTAGTTGCGCGCTCTGGATAATTCGCAGCCATAAATTATTCATAAAAAGTATCGCAACGTGCTAATTTTACGATATCGTGTTCCTCGTTATGCGGAGTGCTTGCTAATAAAACGTCTGCTCGGCAAGTTGCAAAATTTCCCTAACGTAGGAAGTCGAGACGAGGCGCGCGAGCGTGCGAGCGACCTTGACCGCAGAAGGTCGAAGGTTTTCGCCTAACGTAAAATGTGAAACGCTGCTGGTGGTCGTGGTGAACGGTAGCAAGAGTGGTTGTTGGCGTTCACCGCGAAACCTCCACTTATCGCTAACAAAGGCCAAGCCTTCCGTGTAACTCGGATGAGGGCTTGAGCTTTAATGGCTTGCGACCTGTTTCTTTCCTGCGTTTTTAGCTGAAGAATCGCGAAAAACTCGTAATTATTTCAGCAAGACGGCATTACCATTAATTATTTCTTCACATTATTTTCTTCACATTTTGATCACACGTGTTATATTTGTCGGATTAATTCAAGCAGTCATTCGAGAAATATTATTTTCCAGCTGAGCTACCGTGTACTTTTATTAATATACCACGGGAAATAACGAGTTATCTTTTTTCAAAGAAATATCTTTTGGCTTTGTTGCTTTTGGTTATTGTAAATACAAAAGAAATATTATTAATAATAAGGGGATGGTAGGAATAGTAATACTGTGGCAACAAATTGCTAATTAACTTAATCTTGTTTTAATTTCAAGGGGAAACGTGCCGGATTGAATTATTTTGGAATATAATTAACAAGAGAACAGCTGGATGTTAAAATATGAAAAAGTATATAATTGAAGTAACATTTGTAGGTAAAAATGGCACAATATTTTACGTTGTTTTTATGCTATGTACGAGAATTGATATTAAATTCCAATTTATTTGTCGTAGAAATTTTAATATCTACTTTTTATTTCTTTCAGTTCGTATAATTCAGAAAATATGAATTTCTATAATTGAAAAGATTTTTAATTAACTTGATTATTTTCAATAGTACAATATGCGATTTAAAGGTGAAATTGCTATTTATTGATATTTCATCAATATTACCAACGACTCGTTTTATTTGCAACACAAAAATTGAATCGTATTAAATTATTAGTCATATTTTTAAATAAAAACGATTTATCCACTTTTTGTCCTAAATTCTTTATCGTTCAAAATGCAAGGCTAAACTAATCACTGCTGCGAAATGTTATGTATTCAATACAGTTTATATTTGTTACTATTTGTTACTATTATATTGTTACCTGTATACAATACAGTTTATATTTGTTACTATGTTTATATTTGTATTATATTTGTTACTGTATATAATACTGTATTATATACAGTTTATATTATTACTATGCGCGAGTTTTCACGCGTTAAATATATCTCACGCGCATAATTCGTGTTGTATCAATATTATTCAACAATTGCATCGCTCCTTTCATGTAGAAATACAGATTCAGTTATGCGAAAATGATATACTATAAAATGATATACTGAGAATTTTTATTCACGCTTGCTGATACTTTGTAGTACTTTGACAAGTCACAATTTCTTTTCTTTTCTATATTGTTTTTGTTTTCTACAGAACGGTACAAGGAAAATAAGGATCCATACCGTGGTTTTATACTTATTATAGAGACAGTTAAGTTTCGTCCTTTTATTATTTGAAAACACGTGATGCCGTAAAATGTTGAAATGGAACAGGTGATACAGTTCTTAATTTCAACAAATTTTGTAAATATTATCTACCAACAATAAGCAGAGGAGATATTTAAACCATAATTAATTTATATTCTAACATATGTTATCGAAATTAGTATAACTCTGTTAAAAATGCTAGAGATTGCGAGAAATTGTGATTTATGCGAAGTTTCGACGTAAATCAAAATTTTGTTAATGTTAAAAATGCTAAAGATTGCGAGGAATTGCGATTTATAAGAAATTTCGACGTAAATTAAAATT